TTTTAAAGAAAAATAACAGAAAACAATTCATCTCCATCCGTCTTCTTTCACTAGGGTATGGTCTGATAAGGGACCGATAGACAGGAACGAAAAGACATAAACGACATGGGACAAGGGAGAAAAAGGCGTAACATGAGAAAGCCTTCTTCGTGGCGATCCATCGGGATGGGCTATGCCCTGTCCACTTTCTTAATGAACAACAAGACGGAAGTGAGAGAGATACACAAATGCTAGGTGCCAGAGATAGACCAAGGACAAAAGGTGAAAGGGGGGAAACTTTGCGATTTATCTGCCAGGTAAAAAAGAAAAAAACAAGAGCCGTCATCATCAGAGGTTGGCGGTCGATTTTTTTCAAGAGTCCGACGAACGAGACGAGACGAAAGATTCCGCGCCGCAACACTTTCCCTTTACCAGAACCAGAGTCAGACCCTTATTGATCCATTCCTCCCTCTCCATCGTCGTGAAAAAAAGCAACGCACCGCGCAAAAAGAAGAAGCCTCGTACTATCATCCAGCCCGCCCAAGACAGTCCCAGCTATCCGTGTGTCCAGGGGCAGACGAGTGTAACCGGGGCGAGAATACTTCTCGGTTCCTATATGCCGAGACGTATGTGGTATCGAGGGGGATTATTGATAGATTTAGGAAGCAGGAGCAGGAGCAGCCTCCTCAGCAGGCTCCTCGGCGGGCTTGGCAGCCTCGCCCTCCTCCTTCTTAGGAGCATCAGCAGCACCGGCGGCCTCGCCCTCAGCGCTGTCAGAAGAAGTCCAGAGGGTAAGGTTGTCGCGGAGAAGCTGCATGATGAGGGTACTGTCACGGTAAGACTCCTCAGACAGGGAGTCGAGCTCGGCAATAGCATCGTCGAAGGCCTGCTTCGCGAGGTGGCAAGCACGGTCGGGGGAGTTCAAGATCTCGTAGTAGAAGACGGAGAAGTTGAGAGCAAGACCCAGACGGATGGGGTGAGTAGGAGTGAGCTCAGTCTGAGCAACATCGGTGGCGCTCTGTGGTTGGGCACAACTGTCAGCGAGGGGCACCAGGGGCCCGGATCTTGCGGCATGTGACTGTGGTGGGGGGATTTAGCCTTACCTTGTAAGCATCGTGGGCAGCGGTGGCAGCACCCTTGCGTTTCTCACCAGAGGCGAACTCAGCAAGGTAACGGTGGTAGTCACCCTTCCTATAGATTGAAAATGAACCCGGTCAGCCTTGATACCAAATGATTAAAGGGACATTGCAATTTTTTTTTTCCTTTTGGGAAAAAACACGCAAATGTCGAAATGGGTGTAGTGGTTGGTGCATGAGCACAAAAAGGGCGGAAGACGAGGGGCCTCAGGCCAGAGGCGGGGAAGATAAAAACGCACATCTTGTGGTAGAAGACCTTGGACTCGCCAGTGGCAGCGTTAGGAATGAGGAAGTCGTCCAAAACGTCGAGGACATCCTGGCAGACCTTCTCGAGCTCGGTCTCGATCTTGTTGCGGTAGTCCTTGATGGTGGAAACGTGCTTGTCGGATCCCTTAGATTCCTCCTTCTGCTCGATCGAGGAAATGATGCGCCACGAGGCACGTCGAGTACCGACAACGTTCTTGTAGGCAACGCTGAGAAGGTTGCGCTCGTCGACGGTGAGCTCTCCGCCCAGCTTGGCCACCTCCTTCATGTAGGTGACCATCTCATCGTAGCGCTCAGCCTGCTCGCAGAGGCGGGCGAGGAAGGTCTTGCTATATTGAGGAAAGACGTACGAGGTTAGCGAAACGGTGTTCTGTGGCTTGATGTTTGAACACTCGACGAGCTAGACAAGATGTCGAGCGCTGATACGGTTGTGAGAGAAGCGGCTGGGGAGCATCTGGACAAACCTTTCACGCTATCACACCATGAGAGTTAGCACCGAAACAACAATTAATAGGGAGAGATAGGGATAGCGAGAGATGAGCTGGGGTAGAGGCAGCCAGCGCTTTATGAAGGGCAAACAAGAGATCCAAATGAGCATCCTGAGCTGCATGACCAGACTCTAGATATCATGAGCCGGGACTTATCGAGGAAACCCGTGATGTTGGTGCCGGTCATGTTGGGCTTCGACTGAGGGGTTGTGTGGGCTTCGGCGGGAGCAGGCCGAGTAGGAAAAGGACATGAGATCCTTTTAGAAGAGGGGAAAGTGGTGCAGTAGGATTAGGATAGCAACTTACCTCAGTAGCCATTGTGGAAGATTTTGGGTATCGGTTTGATAGAAAAGAGGAAGCGTAACGGAAAAGAAAGTTAAGAAGTTGAGGTTGAGTAAGAAGATGGGAATTTTTGGAGGTTGAGATTTGGGGGTGAGAAGAGGGAGCGGGCGAGATAGAAAGGCAACCAGCGACAGTAATCTCAGTTAAGGTACTAAAAGAATGAGAGAGCGACTGAGAGTGGGCGGGCTGTGGAGGTGGGGTCATTCGCTCAGAGCCAGCAACGGACCCGACAGGTAGGCCGCACAGTATGACGGCGGTCGGTAGGCACCATGTGCATTAAATTTCGGCAGCCTAGGCGCCAACCTACGCCCACTGCCCGCCAGCAGTTTGAGGGTTCACATCGCTAATAGCAGCACATCACAGCAGAGGTGGACAGCCCGCACAAGCTCGCCTGGCCCCTGGTCGCCTCCATTGATGTGGGCTGTTGATTTCTTTTTTCTCACCGGGTTACCAAGGTACCTCGACACCGCCCGCTTCTCTTTGAACTCCGAAGTACAGTGTAGTTAGTCCATACCTCAGTAGTGCCTCTCTCGCTCACATGGAACCCAGTCACCGCTCTGATAGTACTCAACGTAACCGACACTATGTACTTAGCGATTTGGACAGAGAAAATGAGACAACGAGAAAAAAGGGGGTAAGCTACAGAATCTCTCCGTCAAGCGGAACGCATCCCCGTTGAAAAGTTTAGATGGAAATATGGGCAATATAGCTGCCCGCCTCACCCAAATTGCACCCTCTCAATTGACGACTCCATGGACAGAAATTGCAGGCTGCCTACTAATAAGGTACGTCTCAGGCACCTGCCAGGTTAGTAGTAGGCACCAATTGAATGTAAACAATGAAAACCAGCCACGTGAGCGCAAAAAAAAAATTACCACAAAAAAAGGATTAGTAGGTGACGACACGCAAATCTTCCATCTCCTTCACCCCTCTTCTATTGTACTACAGTACAAACAAAACAAACCCAGCCAGGGCTCTTGATTTTGATAGTCCTGGCATGTCATGTCTTGTTAATTCCTCCATATTTCCACTATAGTTGAGACCCTTTTTCAAGCTAGATCATTATCACTTCCCTCAGTGATAAGTACGTACAAAAACAGCCAAGGTACAGTCGGTTGCTGGCTAGTACTCAGTGAAGTCACATAATGTTTCTGCCTTTTCCATTAGATAGGATTCCCCCAAGTCAGCCTCGTTGTTAGGAGATCCATTCATCCCCCCTTTTGGTTATCTATGCCTGCCACAACAGCAATTCGTGTCCCACAACGAATCAAGACTGAGATCCGGGAGGAGAGCTTTAGACTGCAGGCGGGAACCTACCATTCAGACGCCTTCTCCCACTCATGAAACTCTCAGAGACAAGGCGAGTTCTGAGCGAGGGTGAGATGAACTCATTTCCTAGGCTGGGCTCGTCCGCCTTGTAATTATATTAGCCGCCCACTCCAGCGTCTGTAGGACTCATTCGACCCAACCACCTACTATTAGCCAACAAAGTACTAACAGAGCAACTTGAAATTTGTGTCTCTGTTCCCAACCCTGACTCTGAGACAGCTGTTGCGATGTTGGTGTCAGGTTCATGGTCAACCCACTCGCTGAAACATGAACCAAGTCTACAATAGTACCCATTTCAAATAATTCTGTATTCACGTTTATTGTGCACAGTTCAAAGGCAGTGCCGAGTTGTCAATCACTGTACTACCTTACTACCTACACTACGTATCAATATGCTATTCGTATCAAATCTCGAGATCTGCCAATCCCATATTGTTATCAAAACCATCCATGTATATTTGTTCAAGATGGATACTCATTCCGTTTGAAAATGCAACCCATCCCATACCGCAAGCCTTGAGAAATCCACGAACCTGGATATGGGAACTCTTTATCTCGTTGTAGTTCAACGATACCCTAGCTTGTTTCATGAACCACATTCAACTACATAGGAGTGCAACCATAGCTGTCAAATAGTTTGGCAACTCAGTAACCAGCCGATGGGCCCTTCTTCAAACAATCTGGCGCGATTTGTTGAAGCAGTCAGTGTAGCGCAGTTCGCTCGTCATCGTAGGAAACCCCTTATTGATGATAGAATGACTCTCTTCTAAACCCCACAGACCCATCTGTAATCATCCGAAGCCCACGTTCCACCAAGGGCGGAACCGATTTTGCCTCAAGTATAGAGCACCGTTCAGTTTACAGAGTATATTACTTGCTCTATGAATGTGTGATACAGAATGCGTTATCGGTTGCTAGGAGTTGATAGCGCACGCCATATCAAGTTGACACACGATATTATGCTTAGATAGCCTTCGTATTTTTGTTTTTGTTTTGGCGTTTTCTTCTTTTCTTTTCACGAAACTTAATCAATCCGAAGACACTTTGGGGTCAGTTGACCAACTTTAAACCTCAAATGGCCCTGTCTTTACCTGTCTTTACCTGGCATATCAACTTAACTTGTGGAGCTTTCCGTTCGGTCTAGCCCGTGGTCGTTGCGGGAGTGGCCGGGGGCCGTCGGCTGGGAACTGAAAATCGCACCGTACTGTATCCGTATCCGTCCCGAGTAGGAGATTTAATAGTCATGCAAGCCTGGTATATAATACCCAGCCAAGTCGGAAGTCACTGTGGCTGTCGCATCTTTCGGTTGGTGACCAAGTTCACAAATGTAACTTAGAAAACACTAGGTCCTGTCCCTATTATCAAACACGGCTCGCTTATCATCAAGTTAAACCACCTAATTAATACATGGACGGTATCATCAAACCAAGGCTTTTCCCAAACTTATAAACGCCACGCAAAATTATAGTTCCTCAGTATCTGGGCCTAAGCCTTGATATAGCCCTCGGCCCCAGTCTGCGGGATCACCTCCAGGTACACAAAGACCCAATCTCCAGAAATAGTCCCGGTGCGCAAACAAGAGCTGCCACAGCTTGAATCTCGAAGGGAACCCATTCAGCTCCGCCAACTTGTCCGAGGCCGTCAAAAGGTTTTTGGCTTGAAACAGCCGACGGATCGTCATCCATAAGGAATCATCTGCCCCTGCTATACACTTTGGATCGTCATCGCCGATACATATATAAATATCAGATTCGGATGGGGTCAATTCCTGCTTCGCAATGTATACTTCGCCTGCGTGTGACTTGTAACCCCATTCACTCAGAGGCAGAAGAGGCACAGGGTCCTCTTTATGAGTCACCCGCCTGAATCCACGCCCTTCTAGATTACTTTCATCATTGAGATGAAACACTTCGTCCACGAAGCGGGCAAGGCCTTCGTTTCCGATGCGTGGTTCACCAAACGTGGTGACTATAACGTTTTCCCATCCCAACGACACCTTGAGCTCCAGTGCAGCGAGGCAGGCAACAGAGCCTCCTAGGCTGTGCCCAACGAGTTGTATCGGATAAGAGGGATATTGTAACCTTAACTGTCTTAGTTGTGGAAGAATAAACCGTCGAGTGTTCTTCCATGACTGGAGAAAGCCCATGTGTACAGTACAATTCGTGCACGTATGCTCAGGTTCGTCAGGGAGCTCATCGCCACCATGATCTGGTGATGGATACGGTACATATTCCTGAGGTACAGTGCTCAAGTCGACAATCGTATTGGCAATACTGTAGGTCCCGCGAAAGGCTACCACGATAGCAGGCTCGCCGGCGGTCAAGTCACCGCTGTCACCATGCTGCGTCACCCCATGGTCTACCGCAATATATCCGCAGCTGTCGCTTAGCAAAGGGCCAGTGTTCCATGTGTTGATGAGAGACAGACTAGGGAAGTCGTTGCATCGTGATACGCAGTTGAATGGTTTTCTTACACCTGTTGTGCCGATGCAGTAGGCGATATCCACAAGTCGTGATAGACGTTCCAAAGTCGCGAAGAAGGGTAATGAAATGCCCTTCGGTGACAGCGCGCTCGGGTCGGGGCCGTGTTTTTGCGATGATACTCCATGAATACTAAGAGCGAGAGTCGAGGTAGCCAAGATGAGCTGAACGGTGAAGAGGCTCAATGAATCCGCAAGTTTGAACCGCATAATGGATTGAAATTTGCGGTGAGAGTAAAGAATTGAGATGAATCGTAGACGCGTTTATAAAGGTGCACTGCGCTTTGGATATGTCGAGAGAAATGGATCCAAGCTTAATAGCAGGTCAATAGCTCAAAGCAATCGTCCGCATGAGGAGAGGAGGGAACAACAGCGAACTTATGCATAATAGATGCTATTGTTTTTGTTGGGGAGGAATCTAATTTAGCTTTAACGAAGAAAGTGACGATGGGATATGGAGTCGATCAAGTGAAGACGTCAAGATCAGGGTTGACAGGTCTCGTGAGTGACACCTCAAATTGTTGAGGTCATACCCTCTTTGACCGTGATAAACAGTACCTGCTTAGCCTGCCAAATGACCAGCAATGCAGAGGTTCCCGAGAATTGAGGGGTTGTGAGTGGCTGAATGAGCCTGTCCTACCCCGGATTCTCTATTAGGCCCGCTTTAGTACCTGGCAGACGGCAGTTGGACCATCCTAAACAATTCGCCATGTCCTGGGTACAGATAATCTCATATTTTAGACCAGGAATTGAATATTGGATATTTTGTTTGTATTCTATCATCAGAAAAGACATTATTTTTCATTTTCGAGCTCAAGACCTAGAAATTATAGTCTCTCACGTTGCTCAGATAGCTATACAAGCCGTGGCTATAACACCTGATTATCATCTCTAGTTCCGCACAATGTACCAAGTCTTACAAATCACAAGGTATCATATCGTAAAAATCAAAGCATCTAGACTGGAGGCTGCCTGGACGGCTGAAGGCTAGTGAAACCGGCCTTATGGTCTGTTGAGTTGGTTGTGCAAATGCCAGTCCTGGAGCACTTGAGAGGGAGCATAATGCTTCCGCTGGCCTCGTATGGTAGGCTCCTATACAATCATGTTAACAACCAAGATATTCCTAGCTGGTATATCAGGAGTACTTACCCATCCTCTTGGCTGCAAACCTTCTCCATCATCCAAAGCTTTTGATAGTCACCGTCCCACAGAAACTCGACAGCACGGTCATCGCACGCGAATCGGTCGGTGCCCATCCCAGTGATGGGCTTCGAAGAAGAGTTCTTGTTGCAAGGAGTTGTCAAATCTGTGTCTTCGTCCAAGAAGGTAAAGTCGAAGACAGTGAGGGTTTTGCCGCCATCCTTCGACTCTGCTTTGAAGTCGCGGATATGGTAGGTATCAGGCAGTGTACAGCCGTTGTCCTCGGCGCTGCTTTTCATGGCTGACAGGCTCTGAGGGACTGCATAGGCATGGGCGGCCCAGGTAGTAGGGAGAGCAGAGACAAAAACAAGTCCGAGATGCATTTTGAGAGTATGGGTCTTGTATAATATTCGAGATCAAGGTAGGGATAAACAGAGGAGCAAAGACGATAAGCTTATAAAGTAGGTAGTGAGATATGGTTAAGAGAAAGTGATGGATTTTCACGTCGAGGCATGACTAGTTATAAACCCATCAAGCAAGCCATATGGAGAACACGACGTCACAGTCGTAATAGTCTCTCTGGCTGGCTTCTCCTTGCCTTGCCGAACACGCGGCCCAGCAGATCATTAAAACGGGCCTGTTTTCCCTTTCGGCGTCTTTGTGTAATCCGATTTCACCTGCCGATCTTCCTGAGTCCGCAAAGCAGACATGGAGTTGACGGATTAGAGGCGAGGATCTGTCAGTAGGCAGTGCTATTGATCGGATGTCGATCACGTTTCATGTTTGCTGGGTCGGAGGTTTAAATGTGGATTTGTCCTCTGTATGGACAGTATCTCATCGGTTAGTTGTCTGCTGGTCACGAATAGAGTGTGCATGTACCGATGCTATTCCCGTCCAGTGCTACAAGAATAGTAGCGTGATGTCGTCATGAGAATTGATTGGACTGAGAAGCGATCATTGAATAAATTCCAGAGGTACATCTGCACGTTTCTGTTAAACACAAGATGGAATTGTGAGATGCATCCTTTGAGACTCGGTTGCTGTTGGTAGGGCTTGTCGTTGCCGATCACAATGCGCATTAAACCATATCCTTTAAGTGATCTCCCACATCAGGGTCCGAGAGGTTGAGAGGTAACCAAGTAACGTTAGCAGGAGACAAGCCTGGCAGGTTACCTTGTTGCTCTGGCAATCCATCTTTCGAAGAAACTTGGTGTTTGTAGCAATGCGTTGATGCTCAATTGAAGCAATGTGGTATCTCAAGTCTTTCAAGAAGTGAGTTAAACTCAGCAGGGGAGACTTGTCATTTATCGGCAGTCGAGAACATTGAGACTTTGTCCCCAATATGAGCTGCCTTTTATCAAAGTATAACACAAATTGATCTTAAAAAAGAGAAAACACATATAGATTGATGCTGGGCAATGATAAAGATCTTCCTAATAAATCTATCACATATATAGAGTGTAGTAGTGATTAGAACTCTTCTAATTGCGCCACAATAATGTACTCCACGTACCAGCCACAATCGCTTACCCTCCAGCACGTGACCCACACATTTGCAAAAACTTTCCATTTACTCCCCTCCATCTTTTTGTGTTCACTCTCGCGTTGGAAATATTCTCGATCAACCCTTCGACTAACCCATCCAGCAACAATGGCCGCTGATACTCCCGCGAAGTCCGGTCTGGCCGTTGGCCTCAACAAGGGCCACGTACGTTTACCAGTCGCAGTCTCACCTCGTGGAGGATCTCTGCTTCGCCTTCGCGACGGATGACGGCGCGACGAAATCCAACTAGCAGACGATGGACGCTGACATTTGTCGCCGATATTACAGAAAACCACCCCCCGTGTTGTCAAGCCCCGTGTTTCCCGAACCAAGGGCCACCTGAGCAAGCGAACTGCTTTCGTTCGCGAGGTTGTCAAGGAGGTTGCCGGGTAAGTCAATGCGATTTTGCTTCGAGGGAATGGGAAATCGAGTTGGAACAAACACACGATGGACGGCCCAACTGGACACTGTTTCTTGTGTTAGTGTGGCTATCTGTGTCTGCTTCTTCTCGACTTTCCCGGATGAGGAGGAACTATATCAAATTTGTGTCAGGAATTTTACTAACCATCATTCTTCACAGCCTTGCTCCCTACGAGCGCCGAGTCATCGAGTTGCTCCGCAACTCCAAGGACAAGCGTGCCCGTAAGCTCGCCAAGAAGAGAGTATGTCGAACCGCAGAACCAATACAGAACCGTCTTCCGATATACATACTAACTCATGTTACAGCTTGGTACCTTCGGCCGTGCCAAGGCCAAGGTCGACGAGCTCCAGCGTGTCATCGCTGAGTCTCGCCGTGCTGGTCATTAAATCGCTTAATCTGATTTCTGGGAATCTGGCACCAAATGGGTTTCGCATGGATTGGCGTGGTCACGGTATGATCAATTAAAAAATAACGGCTTTGATGCTCCGTGGCAGGGAAAGCTGCGGCTCACCGGAATACCAACACTTTCAAGCAATTTATGGCGTAATGATCAAGCTACGCTCCCCTCAGTTTACTTTGTGACAACCGGTCATCATTCTGTGTGAAGTCTGTTATCCATAAACGTGATTATGTCGATAGCTCTGCATTCCGCTTTTATATGCTGACTAAAACTTCTGCTTAACTGTGGTACTACCAACGCCGCTGATAACGATTAGTGTTTATCTAATATTTTTTCAACAACCTTCTACTACGCACGTAGTAGTCGTTTATTTCTTTCCTAGCTTGAGCCACTTGGGTATCTTCTTCGCAATCTTGTCCCCAGATCCTTCATCCTTCTCTGTTGGCGCTGGCCGAGCCACAGGCTCCTCCTCGTCCTTCTCATTGAGAGTGTCAGGTTCGGGGACCTTGACTTGTTGGCCTTGTTGAGCGACATTGGCCTTGAGGAAAGCTTCTTTCCGCATAGCTTGTGGCACCGTATCGTCCCACACCAAGTTGATAAGAGTTCTTCCCGACATTTTATAGGCTTTTATTAGTCCATTGTTGGAGCTAGGGTCGTCCTTGATCACAATTTTGGTTCCGGGGAGGACTAGATGGAAGGGTTTGTCGTTATGAGCCATGACGTGTCGGACAGCGTCGTACAGGAACCTTCCAGTATGCAACGGGTTCACCTGCCAATCGCTACTGGTGTTATCTGGGAACCTGACCTTGATGAGAATGGATTTGATAGAGTTGATCTTGGCGGTTTCTGCAGCAGCTTTTTCCTCTAACTCCTTATCCGAAAGCAATCGTTTGTTTCTTGAGTTTTCTTGTAATCGAGCTTGGTGGAGTTGCGCATGCGCGATGGTGGGAGCGAAGTCTGTGTCGGGAGCAGGAGCCAAAGCTGCTGCGGGTGTTGACCCTGAAGGTGCCAGGAAGACGTTGACAGGTGCCAGTGGATCATTAGGTTGAGAAGAGTCGACTTCCATATTGTCTTCTGTAACAGTCTCAGACCCTTCCTCCTGTTGAACAGACTTTGCCTCCGGAGACGGCTCTACCTGAACATCCTCCATTTTTGAGCCGGCTGTCCCTTGTGGTGCATGCTCTTCCTGTTTTCCTATCTCTTCTTCCGTTGAAACAGGCTCGGCCTCTGTCGTTAGTGTCTCTTTTTTTTGGTATTCTTCATCTGTATCGTTGAAGAATTGGCTGATATCCGTCATAGCGTCGAACAATGTCTTGTCCGTCTGGCGATAGGCCAATCTGATCAAAACACTTCCAGAATTGTATCCGAGTTGTGACAGTGTCTTCTGGAAGTCTGTGAAAGACGAGAGTTCTCTACCCATAATGTTCAAGACGGGTGTTTCGTAATGTAACTGCCCGCTACCACTTCCTGAGCCGTTTTCCATACACGCAACCCCGCGGGCAGTGATATTGATGTTCTTTCCATTACTCGCCTCGCCACTCTCGAATTGGCGCAAAACCTTCCATATGGTCAGATCGCTGGGAAACTTTTGGATCAGCCTTCCACCTGGTATTTCGTGAGCCTCAGGATGAGGAAATTGAAGGGCGACTTGAATGGCGGAGGGTGTTTTTGACTTCTGCACAAGCTCGAGCTTTGCGCCAGGACTTAGGCCAGAAGAACGAAAAGGAATAGAGAGATCGACTGTTTTTTGCCGGTGCCTGGAGGAAGACGTTGTCAGTATTCTATCATAGAAAGCTACCCGATGCGTATGGACTCACTTAACGAGATACTTGTCACTAGAGAGGTTAAGCCTTCGACATGCTTCCTCCAATACGTCAATCAGATATGTTCCAGGTGTAACTTTGATAGTAGCCCGGCGCAGGTCGGAAGCTATCACAACGACGTTGGTTGCCATGATACAAGTATAGTCCGTTATAAAATAACAATGCAAAGATTATGTATGAAACAGAAACGTTGTGGACTGTTGAAGGCGATCGCGGGGAGGTTGAGCTTGGTTGGCGGTGATGTAAGCAGGCAGCTAACAAAGACGAAAGTGTGGTCACAGCGGGGTTACAATGTAGGGGCTTTGAGCTGAACCCACGGGCATTACGGTAGGCAGCCACGAGTTATGAATGATTTGGCATTTACCACATAGATGTTCCTTGCCGGCAATATGGATACTAGAAACTTCTACGGATGGGAATATCGAATCCTGAAGGGTAAAACTACTACCCATTAAATTCCATGTCATTATTTTCAAACAAGGTACGTCGAACAAATCAAGTCGTATCAAGCGCCAAGCTCTTCAGCCACTTCGTCAACTTGCTATGCTAGTTTCACAAGTCGTGCTGTAGATACTGTGATTCACGACACCAAATATATTTGTCTCTATCGCCCTTATTTTGTTCTCATAACTAGAACTACGCATGTAAATAGATGAGGTTGATATTCGGTGTTCTTTGATAGTGAGCTTACATAACACAATCTCTGCGACCTGCTGAGCCTCAAGACGCCACAGCTCTCAGGCTGCTTCAGTCAACGTGGACCTCCACTTCACTGAGCTGCTTCTTTCCGGCCGCGCCAGACCGTGTTTGCCTTGCCAGCCCGCCTATACGTACCTTTCATAGCAGCAACGCAACCTCATTGCACTGCACCTTCTGTAGCTCCAGTTCAGTGACGGGAGCTTCAACCATCCATCTTGCAATCTCTCTACTCCACGTCAACCCCTCAAACACCCCCTGACGCGACGATACGATACGATACGAATTAACGACAGCCGAAAACTTAGCTTCAATAAACGATCCCTCACTCGCATCGTCCTCAGCTTCCTTTCGATAAGACGGTCGCTGGTTGACGTCGATTGTCCAACCTCGCATCTACCTATTCACTTTTACGAGGCCATCATGGTATGTCAACAATGGTCTTACCAGCTGTTATTACTTCCAGAAGCTAATTGTATCGATTCGATAAACAGTCGTCTCCCTTCTCGATAAGTTCGTCCGGACCGCTCGTCATCATATCAATGATCATACAAAGCTAACCTCCCCTCCCTCATAGACGGCGGTGCCTGTGTCGCCATGGTCGGCAAGGACTGTGTCGCCATCGCATGCGATCTTCGCCTTGGTCTTCAGGCCCTTACCGTTTCCAACGACTTTCCCAAGATCTTCCAGTACGGCGACGTCTTCCTCGGTCTGACTGGCCTGGCTACCGATGTGAACACCGTGAGCGACCTCTTCCGCTACAAGGTTAACATGTACCGCCTGCGTGAGGAGCGCGATATCGCACCTCGTACATTTGCCAACCTCGTCTCTTCGTCCCTCTACGAGCGCCGTTTCGGTCCTTACTTCGTGTCTCCCGTTGTCGCTGGCTTAGACCCCAAGACCGGCAAGCCTTTTATCTGTGGCTTCGACAGTATTGGCTGTATTGATTTTGCCAAGGACTTTATTGTCTCTGGTACCGCTTCAGAGCAGCTCTTTGGCATGTGCGAGGGTCTCTGGGAGCCCGATCTGGTGCGTACTTGGACAGTTCAAGCCAGAAGCTATATTGTATCTGGCTTGGATATCACATTGGTCAAGATTGAAACGCTAATAATCCCTTCTATAGGAGCCCGATGCCCTCTTTGAGACCATCTCCCAGTCTTTGCTCAACGCCGTTGACCGTGATGCTCTTTCCGGCTGGGGTGCTCATGTTTACATTATCGAGAAGGACAAGGTTACCAAGCGATTACTAAAGGGACGACAGGATTAGAGCGTCTGGGTTATTGACAACTACAAGAATAGAGCGGGACAAGGGGTGGTTTATGTATCCTGTATGAATAGATACTCGGCCGACATCAACCGCTGAGTAATGAGAATGCACTTCTTCGTCTTGCTTCTACTTTGGCCATGCATGGGTAATTAATGTTTATAAGATGAGGGATTGCAGAGCGTATTCTTTGGTTGTACTAATTTTTCCCATGTACTGACGTTTCCACACAGTATGTATACCCTCTGGCTGCGAAAGTCACTCTTCTCACTTTAGAAGGACGGCGAAAGCCTCACATGGTGCCAGCTTGATCTCGCCACTGTTCAAGTCATTGAGTGTCCTTCCCGCCGGACTGGTCAGTACCTCTCGAGCCTCGCCAGGTAGTTTCCATACAACAGAATCCGCTGAGAAGTTGCAGACGATGAGGGCAGTCTCCCCGCTATCAGCCCGTCGTGAGTACGCAAAGATCTTATCGTTTGATTCATCCACGAGCTGGAAGTTGCCGTAGACAAAGATATCAATGTGCTCTTTGCGCTTCCCAAGCACCTGGCGATAACAGCTGTAAACAGAATTGAGGTCTGATGTCTGCGAAGCAGCGTTGATATCTGTATAGTTGTCATTGACGCGCATCCAGGGTCTGGCATCAGCAGTGGTAAAGCCTGCATTTGGGCTTGCATCCCACTGCATAGGAGTACGAGCGTTGTCACGAGACTTCTTTTGATACTCGATCTTGTAGGAATTCTGTATCGCGACATCATCATTTTTATGAAGACTGTGGGTGTTGTTTTGTTAGCACATGCTGGCACATGGGCGCTGTCTGACTTACTCCCAGTGTTTGAGACAGTCAAGGTCCTTGTATTCTTCCAAGTCCCAATCCTTCGGAACGTTGGTCATGCCAATCTCCTGACCTTGGTAGACGAAGGGTGTACCTGACTGGAAACCGAGGAAGATTGCAATCAGTTTCGCACTGGCAACACGATTATCAGGATCATCGTGGACAAAGCGGCTGACAGCCCGCGGCTGGTCGTGGTTCTCGAGGTAAAGCGCGTTCCAGCCGTCGTTGTCGTACATGAACTTCTGCCACTTGAGGGTTGTAGCCTTCAGCTCAGAGAGCTTCCAGGATCTGGGCGTGAACTTGCCTTCGACGCCGTGATCGAGATCCATCCTAATTGTCTCAGCTTACTGGTCACGAAAAGATAGATAAGACAAAGGTCAACTTACAGCTCAAAATGGAAGATCATGCTGAGTTCTCCTCGGTCACCGTGCACAGCCTTAATCAACTCCCGCTCGTCATGCACACAAGGCATCTCACCGACACTAAAGGCATCGTATTCCAGAAGGATGTTACCGATTTCCTTGAGGAACTCGTGACATCTAGGACCGCATGCATAGTACTCTGTTCCACGGAGGACAGTCTTGTCTGAGTCGGGGAATGTCTGGTCCTTGCTGACAAAGTTGATGACATCCATGCGGAAACCATCGACACCTCGGTCAAGCCAGAAGCGCATTACCTGATGAACCTGTTTTCTGACCGCTGAGTTCTCCCAGTTGAGGTCTGGCTGCTGCTTACAGAAAAGGCAAAGGTAGTACTCATCTGTAGTCTCATCGTACTCCCAGGCACTTCCTGCGATGGGTGAGCTTTTGTGGTCACAAGTCTCCATAAAGTGATAGGGGCTTATTTACCTTGGAAGTGAGCATCCCAGTTATTGGGGGGGTGTCTATTTCCGTCCGCATCGTACTTTGCAGGCTTCCAGATGTACCAGTCTCGGTAGGGGTTGTCCTTGGACTTGCGAGACTCTTTGAACCACTCATGCTGGTCACTGGTGTGGTTCATGACTAGATCGAGAACTAGTTTCATTCCGCGCTCATGAAGTTTGTCTTTGAGAACATCAACATCAGAGACGTCGCCATATGGGGGATCAACAGTGTAGTAGTCGCTGATGTCGTACCCCTGTCCCGAGATCAGTATGAATGAAAATGGCATTTCGAGGGGCGACAAACCATATCGACCTGAGGGCTCTTGAAGATGGGTGAAAGCCATATGATATCAACTCCCAAGTCTTTAAGGTAGTCAACTCGAGAGATGATACCTTTGAGATCACCAACCCCAGAACCCGTGGAGTCTTGGTAAGACGCGGGGTATATTTGATATACCGAGCTCTCTTTCCACCAAGCTCGTAGACTTTGACCTGTACTACCCATGCTTGTTTCCGGGTGGGATGGATTTGGTTCTGTGTGAAACGGCCTGTGGTGTCTAGCGGTCTGTTAGCTATATACACCTTGAGTGTTCCTTGCACGTGAGAACGGCCGCTCGTGATCAGAGACAAACTTACGATCAACCAATTGATGGACTTTTTGACAGACACACCGTGCGCTTTACGGCTGTCTCTACCGAAAGATCCGAATAGAAATGAGTCGTTCAGATTGTTTTATCAGAGACGAGTTCGGTACTGAGGCTCTAACATGAGCTGCTGGATAGGTTGTCGATGCGGGGTGTTCACTGGTCGCCAAAGTTCCAACGACTGAGTCGTGTTACACAGCGTCTTGTTGTTCACTTGGTCTGTAGGATGGAAGTCACGGAGAAACACTTTAGGAGAGTTGTTTATAGCGGTAGTTCTTGATCATTTAATAGACAACACGGAGTAATTCCCGGAGAGATTATCGCAACAATAGATTGGTGCCCCTCTACAGGGTAAATTGTTTGTCTCCATATTGGTACACTTTCTTGGTGAGATATTTACGGTACAGGATGATATGAGATCTGCAAAAGATAAATTGCCGACTTGCTTGCTAGTCATGCATTCCTGTCTATTATCGTTTCTGTTGCAGATACTCATAGGCGCATTGAGACACCGGCGTAGTGGCATTTGAAAATAAGATTCATGGTGGATAACCTACACCCTCCCTCTCAAAATGCACACGGATTAAGACAGTACAGTTCTCGAAAGCAAGTATTGGCTGGAAGCAGAAATATATTGTGATTGTAGTATTTGCTCACAATTAAAACCTTTTAAGAGACTGTTCAACCACTTGATATCCGAATATGCCTACCTACAAAGGAGCCTGTTGGGCGTGAATACTGGGAGAAAATGCAAACTGGTTTCCACTTGTCCCTACTAAGGTAGTTAGTTGACCGTTATTCATACATCAAGTGTCGTTACAAAGAAGATGACCAAAGACTTTTTCTGTTTTATACTGTAACTAGCCACGTCCCGAATGTAATGCTACATGAGTCGCTTCGGGGAGAGAGATCAAACATATCTGGAATACAACAGCAAACGCAATCAACTCACACAACTAATCAATATGTAGCTTGAATGATAACATCCAAAGACCAAACATTTATTTTAAAGACATAATAAGCTGGTTACATATACCGAGCTGGTTTTGACAGGAGCACCTATCAGTGTTACAGACCAAGGTAGGATAGTCCTGTTGGTTTCACTCTGACACTAAATATAACTCCGCGCTCTCTCTCAGTCCAATCGGCTAGGCATTTCCAGCTCCCAAGAGAGTTGGCGAGGCATGTTTGAGTTATGGGGTTCAACCTGTGTCCAACGGACTTACGGATACCAATCCTTAACTTCAGGGGTCAATTGATGAAGGAGAGGACAACTGTCTTGCTGCATTCCTTGATAATTCCCTGATGGTCCAAACAACAAGGTAGCGTCCAGCAGCTCACCTGCAATGTTATGCAGTGTCGTTAGATATACAACCATGTCTGTAGCACAGAACTCAACGTTACAACTGAGCTATCAGCTACCAAGCAACATGGATGTCAGATCGGGGGTTTTAAGAAGCACAGGTACGAAACAAGCTGATAATTTATGGGTAATGGCATGGAGGCTGAAAGAGACTGTTGGTCCGTGGTCTACATACACCTCAGTGATGAGAGTTGAACCAGGGTTCGCGCAATAGAAACCGTCACAAAAGATGGAATAGGAACAAAAGCAATTGAGATCCTGAACCAGACAAGGGACCATACCATGTGGCTATTCATTTCTGTGAGCATGTGGTACGTGCGATTCTACTGCCGTGTCTCATTCATTTGTAGCTAGATGCGATGCTGGTACTGGAAGGTACACGAGACGAAGTACCTGCATTCGTACAAGGAGTAAATCCATTGGTAGACTCTTCGACTCTGTGTTTGATCGCAGAAGCTGTCTGCCTATATGTTGTATGCAAGATTTAACATAGTAGTTAGTTACAGGTCACACGTAGGCAAATGAGGCATAGCAAGCAGCATGTCTACAACATAGGGTTTGGCTTGGTTTGCGTTGTATGCTATTTTATGTAATTTAACCGGAAAAACAATTTGCTTGTTTGAAAAGACAATCAAAATTCTAAAAGAACCTACGTTTACTTGTATGGCATTGCATTCATTCATTTCTTACTTTTCCCCTCTCGTAAACCAAAACAGACCAAGCCAAAACAAAGACTAACATGGACCTGATACTTGAAGCAGATGTAACGAACCAGCAACATATGGACCTCCCTCTACTGAGCTTTAGCGACCTTTCCTTGCTCGGCACCCTAACGCTTGGAAGGGTTATAGGCTAAGAAGCACTGAGGATGATCATCCAGCCCAACCCTGGAAACACGCTAAAGATCAAACCAACCTCTTTTTATCCTTGAACAACCGTGACATCCATTTGGCATTGGCATTGATTGACCTTGTTCATTGAACCCATGCATTCTAATGAATGGACCCCAGTCACACTCCCCCAGGTTGAAAGCGCCATGACCAAGACCAAAGCAGCCAGCGGCTTAGTTGGGACAATTGATTAATTCATATCTCTCTGATTGATTTGATTGCTCACTTGTCTACCTTACAAAGAGCATTCATTGCACTAGTTACACTATAATCTAGGACATATATAAATTCATACTCTGGCCTTGGCATCTCAAAAAGAAACATCTCTTTATCCGGATATCGTCAGGAACAGGAACAGGAACAAGCCCAAGCTCAAGCCCAGGAACTGGAACTCAGCCTCTTCCTCGCATTTCTCAGACATGACGTGAACGCAAGCACTGCCTATTCGGTATACTCCGTACTCATTTCACTAACCAAAAGGACTTTACTTTCATCTAGGTTACCTTGCCTTTCCTACCCTACCTACCTACCTACCTGTAGCTTGGACCTCTTTTATCCCCGCGTCGTTTACGATTTGCATCTGCATTTGTACCTACACCAAGACCGAGACCGAGACCAGCATTTACTATTTGCATACGTTCATCGTCGTCATTCTTCGCCCGTCGTGTAGTCTACCTATCGCTGGATATTCATTTTGTGTTGTTCTGTTCTGTTCTATCCTATCCTATTCTATTCTACCTTGCCCATTCAGATCAACAAGTTCATTAACCGATACTGGTATACATGCCTATGCTATCCATGGCTTAAGGGACCCTGCCATTTCATCGCTTGTCCGTCCGTCCCCACGCCTCGGCGACAATGACCAGGAATGAACATGTCAATCGCATCAGCTCTGTCATGGGCTCGGGCAACAACATCGATACGTATTCTGCTGTTACCGTAAAGTCCCAGCCCGAGTCTGAGCTTGGACTTGAGCCGCCTCAGCTTCAGTATCAATCTCAATCTCAATCGACCTCATCTTCGACTGCCTCCACTGCTCCCGCTCCCGCTTCCGCCGCTTCTACTATCTCCACTCCCACGCCCATTCCCGCTCATCACTCGCCTACTCCTAATCCGGCACCAAATACAATACCAAAGCCAGATCCAAATGCTGATACTGACGCTCTAACACCAACTCCATCCTCCTCCGCTCCGACGCCTTCATCCAGTACCTCTTACGTCTTCTCCTCAACGCCTCGCCGACGCCCTTCTCATCCTGCTAATTATCCTACTCGCCTCAGCGCTGATGGAACTGCTTCTTTGAGCAACCAGTGGTGAGTTCAACTTAGATCCAATCATTCATTGCCTTAGTACCTAGCATCCATGCCGTCTTCCGTCCCACGATCCCCTGCTGCTATCTCCCGCCTACATGTTCACGTTCACACCTGTCGCTTCCCGACTAAAGCTAAACGCTTCCTTCCATCTTGCAGGTCCTCCTTCAAGGATGAGCCTCAGCTCTCACCAATTGCCACTGCCGCCACAAACTCAACCATTTACGCTCCTCGCGCTGGTGCCAATGCTCAATCCAAAGACCGTCGCATGAGCGACCTCGCCAACTATCGACGTGAACTCGCCGTTCTTGAGACCTCCCGAGTACCCCAGATCCAACAGATTCCGCCCACCGGCGGCGCGAGTCCTCAGATAGCACCTTGGGCGACCCAGCCTGGTTCCCCTACAAACACATTCATCATGCCCACCACTTTCTTCAACGAATCGACCGACAACTTGTCCCTCGCTTCCCAGCTTTCCCCAGGCCACCAGATCAGTAACCGCCAGCAGCAGCAGCATCAGCATCAGCATCAGCAACAGCACCCTTCGCAGCACGACGCTCCCGATGCATCCTATTTCGACGGAAGACGCCCCTCCGCCGCCAGCATTCTGAGTGCGAGCAGCCAGGGCAGCAAAACCAGCATACGGGGTGGTTTTCGCAAGCTTCAGGGCTTCTTTGGGGAGGAATTCCCTGGGCGCGATAGCTCGGACGGTAGCCTACCCACTTCGCTCGCGGGCAAGGACCAGCGTGGACGCTCTTATAGTCATAGCCGCCCCACACATAGAGATCGCAACTATTCCAATGCCACGGATCACACCCGTGATGTCTCGCCATCATCTTCGAGACCAAGAACGCCCGTCCCAGCACCAGAGGTGGTGCCTTTTCTATATCAAGACAACAGTGTATGTACCATCCCCTGCTTCTGTCTCATCGCCCTGACTACCTTGGCCTGCTTCCGTCGGTCTGGGTCTGTGATCGATACATTCCTTTTCGAATTTCTCCCTTGGCTTGCTCTTACTGCCTGCCTCAGCGCTCAGCTGCCGTGTTATTCGATTTATTGCCTTGCCAATGTTGCCTGGTTTGCTGACTCGAACCCCTGTAGGACATTGCGCGCTATGGCGAGGCTCCCGTACGGGACATAATGACCGGGCCCGATCGAGAGCGATATGCTGGTGACGGCTCCTCACAGGTACCCCCAAAGACATCATCATCCTCGAGGTCCGGCCATTCTATTGCCCATTTACCTGGCCACCACCGGCACAACAAGAGCAACGACGACCCTCGCACGCTCAGACCTACGATGAGCAGGGACGATACGGCAATTGGCACACAAATGTCGCGCGATCGCGGGGCAGGTAGCAACGCAATGTACCCAACAAGATCCCGGGGGCAGAGCCCAACGCCCAGCACCAGGAGTGCAGGAATGACCTGGAGCAGCTCCAAATCTACGCAAGTCGACGGCCAAACATCCCCTAGCCACAACAATCATGGCAAGCGCGGATTTTTACGGCGACTCCGAGGACATCACAAGGAAAAGGACGATGCTGTTGCCAGACTTCGTGACCTGCCCCAATCTACAAGGTCCCTACAGACAAAGTCTTCCAAGACCGATCTTCATCGACCCAGCGACGTATCATCGACTACATTAGCATACGCAGGCTCTATTGGACCTGGTGATATGATCGATGCTACTGATATGCGACCAGCAACGGCACAACGGGGAGCGACCTTCAATAATAAGTTTCCTTTTGCAAAGAAGGGACGGCCCCATCGACCTCAAGACTACACTGAAGAAGCAATTGGCCCGACTGATCGTAACGATCCTAATAATATGTATCACCTTGACACCAATTTGAATGATATGGAGGGCATTCTGACCAAGCCTCCTCCACTCACACCTATGGACACTACCTTTGTCAATAATGTTGAGCCTGAGCGTCACGACTCCATCATCTCGACAGCACCTAAGGGCCGCTGGGATGCCCCGGACAGTTGGGCAGTGCGTCGTAACACGGAAGACAACTCTTACAATGGTGGTCCAGAGATTGACGAGATTGGCAGCCCACCTCGTCCGGAGGAGAAAGCATCGCCGTACTGTATCCGAATTTTTCGTTCAGACGGGACATTCTCCACTCACTCGATGTCTTTGGATTCAAGTGTCACGGATGTCATCTCCCAAGTTATTAAGAAGACGTATGTCATGGACGGTTTGGAAAATTACCATATTATCATGAAGAAGCATGATCTTATTCGGGTTCTGACGCCGCCTGAGCGACCTCTGCTCATGCAGAAGCGCCTATTACAGCAAGTCGGGTACGAAGAAAAAGACAGGATAGAAGATCTCGGACGCGAAGACAACAGTTACCTCTGCCGATTCATGTTCCTGTCCGCAAGAGAAAGCGACTTTCACGCCAAGACTACTGACATGGGACTGGCTCGGGCTCAGAAGCTCAACTATGTCGACCTCTCTGGTCGTAACCTTGTTACAATACCTATATCCCTATACTCGAAGGCTATGGAAATCATCTCCCTTAACCTTTCGCGGAACCTCTCACTTGACGTTCCCCGAGACTTTATACAATCTTGTAAACACCTGCGAGATATAAAGTTTAACAATAACGAAGCCAGGAAGCTGCCACCCAGTTTGAGCCGAGCAAATAAATTAACGTTCCTGGACGTCGCCAACAACCGAATCGAGCAGTTGGAGCATGCCGAACTTAACGCTCTTACGGGTATGCTCAAGATGAACTTGGCTAACAACCGACTAAAGCACTTGCCCTCTTACTTTGGAGCATACCAGTCGCTTCGCTCCCTTAATATCTCTTCCAACTTTCTCGACAAGTTCCCGACATTTCTCTGCGGCTTGCCAAGTTTGGTTGATCTCGATTTGAGTTTCAATGCCATTGCAACGATCCCTCAAGAGATCGGTTCTTTGAGGAATCTGGAAAAGTTGTTGATAACTAACAACAGACTAACGCACGCTGTGCCTGCTACGTTCGGACAGCTCGTCAGTCTGCGCGAACTCGACATCAAGTACAATGGCATTTCCAGCATCGACATCATCTCGGAGCTACCCAAACTCGAGATTCTTTCTGCGGATCACAACTGCGTCTCTGCTTTTGTTGGACAGTTTGAATCCCTTCGACAGCTCAAATTGAACTCTAACCCCCTTAACAAATTCGAAATTGTGGCTCCTGTACCTACTCTCAAGATCTTGAACCTCTCGAACGCCCAGTTAGCTAGCATTGACTCGTCGTTCGCAAACATGGTGAACCTAGAGCACCTGATATTGGACAAGAACTACTTCGTTTCTTTGCCCCAGGAAATCGGTACTTTGGGCAGGCTCGAGCATTTCAGCATTGCCAACAACTCTGTGGGAGAGCTACCATCACAGATTGGTTGTCTCACAGAGTTGAGAGTGCTCAACGTCCGAGGAAACAACATTTCCAAGCTGCCGATGGAATTGTGGTGGGCAAACCGACTTGAGACGTTTAATGCTTCTTCCAACGTTCTGGAACATTTCCCCAAGCCTGCTTCAAGAGCACCGCGAGTACCAGGGGAGGAATCACAGCCAGCACCCCCTCCCGTTAATGGGAGGGCAGCCCCCCTGGGAACTTTGTCGGCCACTGCAAGCTCCGAAGAACTGTCTGATGATAGGAGACCGAGTCAAAATTCGAGCACCCTACTTAGTGTCGGACCGTCTCCACTCAATGCTGGCGATCGCAAGAGCTCTGTTGTGTCTGTCTACGGCAAAGGTGGCCGTAAGACGTCTGTCGTTTCTAGATCTGCAACTCCATCGGCCCCTACGCAGTCTATTAACCCAAGGAAGGATTCTGGATTGTCATCGAGGCTCAATAACACATTTGCAGGTTCTCTGAGGAATCTTCATCTTGCTGATAACCGTCTTGATGACGATGTCTTTGACCAGATTACGCTTCTAACCGAGCTCCGGGTGCTGAACCTGTCCTACAACGACGAAATTAGCGATATGCCCCAACGATCGATCAAGAGCTGGCCGCAACTTGTTGAGCTTTATCTGTCTGGTAACGCACTCACAACGTTGCCTGCCGATGACCTCGAGGAGTCCAGCTTACTCCAGGCACTCTACATCAACGGCAACAGGTTTACCAACTTGCCGGCCGATATCTCGCGGGCCAAGAATCTTGCTGTTCTCGATTGTGGCAGTAATTACTTGAAGTACAACATTTCAAACGTGCCATATGATTGGAATTGGAACCTCAACCCGAACTTGAGATATCTTAATCTGTCTGGTAACAAGCGTTTGGAGATCAAGCAAACAGCTACTGGTCCGCTAGGCCCTGGTGCTGTTAACCGCGAGGAGTATACAGACTTCAGTCGTCTGCTTAACCTGCGTATCTTGGGTCTGATGGATGTTACTCTTACACAGCCAAGTATCCCGGATCAGAGCGAAGACAGACGTGTCCGTACGTCTGGCTCTCTCGCCGGTCACCTACCTTATGGAATGGCTGACACGCTTGGTAAACATGAGCATCTATCAACAGTTGATCTTGTGGTGCCAAGATTCAATGCATCGGAAACCGAGATGCTCCTGGGTCTGTTTGACGGACAGGCCTTGTCTAGTGGCGGGTCGAAGATTGCCAAGTATCTCCACGAAAACTTTGGTCACATCTTTGCCCTTGAACTCAAAGCATTGAAGACACGCCTGAACGAGACTCCAGTTGATGCCTTGCGACGAGCCTTTTTGGCGCTCAATAAAGACTTGGTTACTATTGCGATTCAACAATCGGAGGAACGGCCGCTTCAGACGCATAGGAACTCTGGCCAGCCAATCATACTCACGAAGGAGGATCTCAACTCGGGCGGCGTGGCAACCGTCGTTTATCTACAAAGTACGGAGCTTTATGTCGCAAATGTTGGTGATGCGCAGGCGATGGTGATCCAGACCGATGGCACTCATAAGATGTTGACTCGCAAGCATGATCCTGCTGAGCCGAATGAACGATCGCGTATTCGCGAAGCTGGCGGATGGGTCTCGCGCAATGGAAGACTGAACGACTTGCTTCAAGTCTCGCGTGCTTTTGGATATGTCGACCTGATGCCAGCTGTACAAGCGGCACCCTATGTCAGTAACATGACTATCCGAGAGCAGGACGACATTATTCTGATTGCTACCGGAGAACTCTGGGAGTACTTGTCGCCGGGCCTGGTTACCGATGTTGCGAGGGCCGAGCGGCAAGATCTAATGCGGGCCGCTCAGAAGCTTCGCGATCTGGCTATCGCATATGGCGCATCAGGCAAAATCATGGTTATGATGATCAGTGTGGCGGATCTCAAGCGACGAGTCGAGCGATCGAGGCTTCATCGCGGCGCTAGTATGTCGCTTTATCCCTCTGGTATACCCGACGATGCTCAGGTCCTCAACATCAGAAGAGGCCGAAGAACCAAAGGCGATGTTCTCGACTCCTCACTCAACCGCCTTGAAGCGGAGATTCCAGCGCCCACTGGCAATGTATCCATCGTGTTCACCGATATCAAGAACTCAACAACACTCTGGGAAATGTACCCTAGTGCCATGAGATCAGCCATCAAGCTCCACAACGAAGTCATGCGTCGGCAGCTGAGACGAATTGGTGGCTACGAAGTCAAGACTGAAGGTGACGCATTTATGGTATCTTTCCCAACAGCCACGTCAGCACTTTTGTGGACGTTTGCGGTACAGATGCAGCTTCTTGATGTGAATTGGCCATCAGAAGTCTTGAACTCAGTCTCATGCCAGCCTATATTCGACAAGGACAACAGTCTTATTTTCAAAGGACTGTCAGTACGTATGGGTATACACTTTGGTGATTGTGTGAGCGAGACGGATCCAGTTACTCGCCGTATGGATTACTTCGGACCCATGGTGAATAAGGCGGCTCGAATTTCTGCCGTGGCAGATGGCGGCCAGATCACCGTTTCTACTGACTTCATCTCGGAGATACAACGATGCCTCGAGAATTACCAAGACACGGATCGTGGCAATGCTTCCGGCTCTGAGGATACCTTTGGCGAAGAAGAGACCTATGCCAGCGCGATCCGAAAGGACTTGAGATCCCTCACCTCTCAGGGCTTTGAGGTTAAGGAAATGGGCGAAAAGAAGTTGAAGGGTCTTGAAAATCCCGAAGTCGTGTACTCATTGTATCCTCATGCTTTGGCTGGTCGCATCGAGTTCCATTCGCAGCATGAGAGGAAGGAAGAAGGGGGCGGAGGCGATAAGCCAGCTGTCCTTGCGCCTGGAACCGAGTTGTGTATCGACCCGGACAGTGTCTGGACTCTTTGGAGAATAAGCTTACGCCTCGAGATGCTCTGCAGTTCATTAGAAGGAAACGAGCCCCCAGGTCTTCAGCCACCCGAAACGGAGCTGCTCGAGAGGATCAAACAACGTGGAGGCGAGGTGACGGATCGATTCTTGTTGAACTTCTTGGAACATCAAGTAGCCAGGATAGAGGTGAGTTTCGAACGACATTTATTCGACCGTCCCCTTTACTAATGTTTACAGACCTGTATCTCGACACTAGCGATGCGCCACATTGCCATTGGTGGCGGAACTATTAAGGAACTCGAGGATCTTCATGGTCCAATGTCCGCCATATTAGATCAATTTATGGCCCAGAACAGGGAATTGAAACGTTACAGGAGGAAGTATGGCGCGCTGCCCAACCCGATAAGCAGCATTAGTACCAGTGAAGAAGAGGAGGAGGAGGAAGAAGAAGGCGACGACGATGATGACGATCCCGACACCGAAGAAGGGAGCAATACAGAGCAAGAGTTGTGATCCTATACGACAGGTTCGTCGGAACCAAACCTGAGCACTTATATAAGCTATAATCATCCACATGACACGAGGAACGACCCTGGGAGGTTGGACAGAACGCTTTTTTTTTATTACTTTGGGTGGGAATTGAATGGAAGGACGCGGTTGCGGGGTTTTATGGCGGGAAATCATGTTTTGGCTGAGTGCAGGTTTGCTCTCTGGGTATATTCCAGGCGGTTTGGTGGGAGGTGCTCATGATGTGCTTGAGAATTGGAAAAGATGTTCGGCTGGAGAAGCAGTGCATGGCGTTGGGCTACGGGGAAATCAAGGACATACTGATGATTGGCGGGTTTGTCCACCAATATGCGTACTTCTTGCGCCCACTGAGATTATTGAATGACTGGCTCTGCTTTCAATAGGGTATGAATGGCGTGCGCACGTATGCATTGTTTATACGATATGTTAGGCATTACAAAACAAGCTGACGTAGTATTATAAGTCATTGCTTATATAGATGTCCTGAATAGTGACAAGGCATGCTGAGACTAAAGCTAGCTAACACGCCTCAGGATTCTGATCTTGGGCGACATTCGAGGTCCAACCCACCAACCACCCGTATAGCCCCTGACGATGTTTCTCAAGACCGCAACGTGAGCACCCAGGCCAAGGACCCTCTCGTCACCAATCCTTCCCTCCTCACTTTCATCGCCTACAGGTGAAGAACCTGGTTTGAGGAACTCAATACCGTCATAGCCTGTTACCACTCCTACAACCTGCCATCCACCCAACACTTTGCGTGGGTCTTCGACTAGAACGTAGTCGAAACGCTCCCAAAAACGCGGCATGCTAAGATTTTCCTCCTGCTCCGTCTTGTCGAAAAGCAATACGGGAGATGTGGCATCTGGCTCCGGGGTTATGGGAAAGGCAAGAGGATAGCCAGACGGGTTCTGTCCAAAGAGTGTAAGTCCAGTCATGCAGGTCAACACATCGGCGTGAACGTTCATAACGGGAGTGGGATCATCGCGAGTGATATAATGCAACTGCTGAAGTGCATCGCCACCAGGATAGTTTAAGGATGAGATGAGGAGCATAACGATGCTGGCCCCAAAGCTGGCCAGGGTGAATACAATTGTGATAACAAAAGCGGCGTGGTAGATAATGTTCTTGGGCGCTCGCGAGGAAATGTAGTTAGCTCCAAGAGCAGCAGCAGCAGTGAGGGATGGAACGACATAAAAGATGAAGCGGGCCTCCTTATGCGGCTGAGCAGAGTAGATAGCAACAAATAGTAAGTTGGGGATCGTCAGGGCCCGCGCAGCTCGTGAAGTACCCGGTTGGAGAAGTGCAAAGGCGATTAGAGCCGGCACAAGGGGGTTGAGCATGAGCTTTGGCAGCGCCGAGGTGAAATAATAGTGCCATGGAGAGACACCCCATTCGGACGAAGATCCGAGAATAGCGTTGAAGTAGAAGCCCCAGAGCTCAGGCCATAACCACTTCTGCCAAAAGTATGAATCGATGGGTACTGAGACAAAGATAGAGGCGAAGAAAGACGAGAAGAAGACAAGAATTAATGAGCCTAGAGCGATGCGGCCGGTGATAAGGAGGTAAAGCCCTGTGGTGCCCAAGAGAATAGCGACTTCGGACCGGAAGACTGCTGCTGCAATGACGAGAAGGGCAATCGCTTGCTTATGGCGAATGAAAGAGAGCTTAGTCGAGGACTGTGGTAACAGAAATGCAGAGGCGAGAGTTGCTGGTTTTTGTGAGTTGGCATCATTGGGAGGCAGTGAAATATATTACTTACTTAAACCAAAGGCATACATGTTAGGCAATGTCCGTGAAAGGTAGTAATTGATGTGGAACTGACTGGCCATGAAAACAACCCACCAAGCCGAAACACCTTGTCCATAAGCTCTCTTCAAAAGGTTCTTGAATGTCAAAAGGGCAGCAACATTTGCCGCAGCAAGCAGTCCTCGCACTACGAGCTGTGCATGCTCGAAGCCGACGAGAGCAATAATAGGTTGCCCTATACCAGCGAGGAACACAGCACCGAGAAACGTTCGAGGCACAGCCCCGGGGAAAGTGAAATGATCGTAGGCGTGTGAGAGGCGATAATTAACATGTTTGGTGGGCGTTCCATAGGTGAGGATGTCGTGTGCTGCTTGGATGTTGAACGACTCCTCAACTTTAGTGTATGGGGAGACGAGGAGATGAGTGAGTGGAATGGTGATAAGGAGGCATGTCAAGATGATATCTAGCAAGTGTCAGGTTCGAGTTTTTGGTTGAAAAAGTGCATTGAAAGAACAATGTGATCATACCTGATGTCTTCATCTTGGCTGATATTTGACAGTGAGAGCGTCCTCAACGAGAGAGCTACTGTTTTAGCCTGGAGATTGATGTACGTGAATGCTTGTCTCGCAGAGCGCAAAAGTTGGAAATTTCCTCAAAAACGAAAAGAAAAGCATTAATGGAGAAACATGTCTCATTTTATCTTAACTTCAGCCAAAAGCAACGTACTTGCGATTGCATCTTGTTCATTCACAGAAATCAACCTAGAGCTGTACCTACCTCTTTAGGGGTCTTCGGATCGGCCTAACCAATCCCCCGCAGTGACTCCTTCCCCAGGTCTACCTTAGTAAGGTATGTGTGTTTAAGCCACGATGGCAGCTACGACGTATAGGTACGTACCTGCTTGGAGGGCAGGCACCACAAGCCAGGCTGAGGATCCATAGCTAAGGTACTCTGTAGAAGGCCGATAAGTTACACATCATCGTCAACTCTCGACTGTCAAATCCAACCCTTTCTTCACAATCAACACCGTCGCGCAAGATGTGGTTCTTTGGGAGCTTTCTCTATGGTAGATAAAACGCTACTCTTCCTTCACCAATGCGCACCTGCTAATTCATCTTGCAGTCTGCATTCTCCTTATCAATGCCGTCGCTGTCCTTTCCGAAGATCGATTCCTCGCGCGCAGTACGAACCACCCCAATCTCGAGTCTACCTATATCCGCGCATGTCTTATCTGACGCATTCTGTCTAGTCAATCTTTCACCAGCATCGTATGATCCCGCATTTGGCGCTGGCCCCGATGCCAGTGTCAAAGCCAAGATCATCAATCTCATCGCGAGCGTTCGAACCATAATGAGGAGTATGTCTAATCTCGATATTCACGCAGCGCAACATATATGGAGAGGATGTTGCACTGTAGACTGTGATCAGATACTAACGTCGCCCTAGTGCCGCTGATTTTCGTCAACTCTGTTATTATTCTTTACGAGCTCATACTTGGCTGAGTCCAGGTTCCACATTTGGACACATATATACGGCATGGTTATAAAAGAGGACGCAGTAAACTTTTCTAGGCATTAATGGAGTCAGGCAATTTTTGAGTTGGAGCTTTGTTGATATATAAATCACGACAAGCTATGCGTGGGCGACGTGGAACGAGTCAGTATGAAAGGGAGACAACCTCCTTATGAAATTGAGCGCCATGTTTCATGAAGCAGAAACCTCGTGGGCTTGAGCTCTGGCTCCCTATGTAATGTATAGTACAACTGCTGCACCGCAGGCTGTAATCCTCAGCGCCCAAGTAAAACTGAACAAGCGAGCTCGTTCGAATAGTAATATCTAACCCATGCTCTTTGCCGATGTGATTCATCCTCTATTCAGTGTCCCTGTAATTAGAAGCTCCGGCGACCACCACAAGGCCATGGCAAACTTTGTCAAAAGAGGCCAGAAGGGGCAGAAGAATTGTGCTCAAGATAATATTTGGCCGGCCCAAAGACGTCACGTCTCTTAGTTGCGCTTGCGCCTTTGGCCATGTCTTTGTCCGTATAACGGCAGCTTCATTCAAGGTGTATGGGTATCCTACATCCGCCAAAGCTCGCGAGAACATAATGATAAACCCGAGTTCCGTCCGTATCCTTTTGCTCTTGTGTAAACGCTGCAAAGTATATATGTGTGGTAAAGATTATGAAAGCAAGTTTGTGCTCTTTTTGCGGCCCAGGCTGAAGCTGAGACGGTCTTTGAGTTTGTCATGCTTCTCGCTCGAATCGCCGTTAGGGGTGTCAGGAGCCTGCGCGCCTGATTTATCTTTGTGAAAAAGTGAGAAACTCTTCCGTGACATCGACTTGCTACCCCTCTTGGTCCGGTCGAGAATCCCATTGCTCTGGGGTGTTCCGTTCTCCTTCTTCCTTGCTTCATCCTCTTGCGCGGCCGACTTCTTGCTGGCCTCAAGAACTTTGGCGAGCTCGTCATTTTCGTTTTTCCGTGTTTGCATCGCCGCCTTAAGACTGTCTTCTCTTCGTTTCTTCTCGTCAAGCTTGGTCTGCTTTTCTCGCTCCTTTTCTGCAATCTTCTCCGCCTTTTCGGCCGCTTCACGCTCTTTCTTCTCTCGCTTCTTATCTTCCTTGGATTTGAGTTCTTCCTTCTGAGTCTGAACACGGTGTAGGCCATTAGTCGTGGCTGTAGGAGGGGGTGAAGCATCAGTTGGAGGAGCAGAAGGCATGACCGGTGCTGTTCTCGCATGAGCAAGGTTCGCCATCGATTCATGATGCGCCAAGGGCGACATGGGTTGCGTCGCTTGCCGCTTCAATGGTGAAGTATCCGCCTTGTCCCCGTTCTCCTGAGCTAGGTTGGCCACCTCGCTGGCGAGTTTCACCTCCTCCATGCCCTCCTTCTCCTGCTCCTCCCGCACCTTTTCGAACGTTGTTTCCTGGTAAAACAGCACGTATGCGGTGGCCATTCCGGGTTTGTCACCGAAAAAGTTGCGGACGAAATTTTTATCCACCGGTTCAACCATTTCATCATCAAATAAGATCCATCCTCGACCTGGAACCTTGATTATAGACACATAGTGACCATGGTAGGCATTTCCGCCAATGTGAACCACCACTGCATATAGCTCATATAACCGATCCGGATCTTCGGCATTGTCCGTCGTATTGAACATGCGTAGATGATAGGGATACACGACCCTGTGGAAAAGCTTTTGCAAACGGCTGTAGTCTTCTGTATACTTGAATCTCTTCAAGTGGAGTGTCAGGATTTTAGGTAATCGTTTCACTTTCATTCTCTTCTCAGCTTCCTGAAGACCTCCACAGTGGTCGCAGTGGAACTTATTCCTCTCGCAGAGCATCTCCTCGGCCGAAAACTTGCGTAGGCAGGATGTCACGGAAGAATGCTCCTCGAGATCGATGGACAGATCAAGGAATGTCTCATCACGCTGAGAAGCAGTTTCACAAGTCAAACACTTGGTTTCTGATGTCAGAACGCCTTCGAAAATATCGTGAACCCATCCAGTCGCCGGCGAGCTTGCACCCGCCACATGGTTCGCCATTGCCGATCCAAGAACATGTTCGACTGAAGTGGCCAGCCCATCGAGGCCGTCAGGGGGTGCCTGTAGCTTCACCTGACGAGCCGTGCTTTCAACGGAGTTTATGACATCGTTTAGCACAAGACCATAGAACTCATGGGCATCTTGGTGCATGGAATTCCTGAACATCTCGTTGTCGCGCTTGAATATTTCTAGAAATCGCTGAGGACTGAGGACTCCGGTATGAGTATTGCTTTCAAGCAAAGCCAAAAAGATATCCTTGAGCCCTGTGAAGGTGCACTCGTCCATACCATAGGACGTAGCATTCTCCCGCGCCAGCTCGAGGATAGGCCCCTTGATCATGGCTTGTTTCTTCTTGTATTCGGGTGTATCAGGTTTGTCTTCGGGTCGAACGCCTACCTGCCCTGGTAATTGATGACTTGAATTTTGTCTTTGCTTGATTACCTGGGAAGTGCTAAGGCCCTTTTGCTTTGGTAAGTTCTCCACAGGGTCGGTGGGCGGAGGTCTGATGGTAATGGGAACTTTAGGTCGGCTACCGTTCGTCTCCGTGGGCGAGATTGGGGGGTAGTTGACAACATTGTTTCGAAACGACTCGGAGTAGAAGAGAGCCTGCACAATCGAGTTGCAGTAGCTAGACGAAAGGATTAGTATAACAGCCTGGTTGAGTGATGACTAGCACGTCTCGTACCATGTGTTTCCAAACTATTGACAGGTTAGCCTACTTTTCGTAAAAGTGGTGTAGTCAAGTTGAAGCAGAGATGGACAACTTTGCGCCAGGTTTCTTAGACAGGGCTCGACGTACATTCTCAAGACCGAAAAAGCGATCGGTGCCGTCATCTCGGAGGGAACCGGCGTTCTGGAGCATTTTCTCGAGCGGCGTGAGGTCGAGGATAGGTTCCTCTTTCTTCTTTGCGACAGCATCTTGCTTGTTGGGTGTAGTGGTTGTGGCCTAGAAGCAGAAGCGAGAGGCATTTTGTCAGTCATGAGAACCATACTTGGCGCAACTTGAAGCGAGAGATCAGGTGGAACTGGGACAATCCGAGATGAAAATGGGCAGTAAACAAGTCCAAGACATACAGTGCCAGAACCCTTTATCTTGTTGAAAAACCCGGCCATGGCGATGTCGTGATGTCGTCAGTAGTAGCAACTCGGTAGGAAGGTCGCGGACTTGGTGAGCCGATCAGAAGAACGTTATCAAACGGCTGACCCGCAATAGCTGCGGCAGCAGCACCTCGACGAAGAGAGTCGCAATTGGGACAAATTACCATGCGCGAATGGCTTCGATTTTACGCAACGTAAGCAAAGAATCGCGCAAAGCGGACAAGACAGGTTGAGAAACGGTAAGCCAAGTCAAATTCAGAGTTGCCGAGTGTTGAGCGAGGAATGGCGCGGGTGCTGGAACTTGGCACCGGCTTGGGGAAAAGCGAGGCGTGGTTGTGTGGCGTGGACACGATAGCGCCGGCCGGAGCTACTATACTGATTTGAAAGCCGAACCAGAGACGAAGCAATCGTTGCCTGTGTATCGTTTGCTGTGACTGTGAAGAAAAGAAATGCAATTAAGGTAGAATAGTGATCGAAGATGGCTCCAAAAGCACCTTGGATGTAAGAGGGAGGTGTCAAGTTACTAGAAGACAAGGTAAGGCAAGGCAGTAGAGTAGAAAGCAATCCAAGCTGCTCTCTGCTTCTGCAGTAGATGGAAGGCACAGATTGAGGTAGACGAGGTAAGGTAAGCAGACAAGGTCAACCACCGATGTAAGGAAGGTAAGGATGAGGGTGGCGGGAAATGACCTGGATGGAGGTCAAGTCCGGGGGAGATGATAGTGGACATGAAAGTGAAAGTGGAGGAGATGGAAAGAAGGATGGATCAGTGACCTCGTGGTTGGATCCAATGGTACCGCGCCCCAACATGGTAGGTGCAGTGGTGAGGTTCCAGGACGTAGGATTTCATACATGGGCCTGGACAGAGCTGAACAGGGTTGTGACTGGACCATGGATTATACCTACCTCGAGTTACAGCACATTTCAGTGTAGTTGGTAAGTTACTGGGGGAACATTACAGGTAGTCGGACCAGAACAAGTCATGATGGGAAATTCCACAGCCTATATCTACTACCTACTAGGTAGCCACGTTGATGAATTTCTGGACGGATGATTCCTTTTTGTTACCTGAAGCGGGCAGTACGGTCAACAACAGCCATTGTCTCCTCCCTGTTGAATCACCGTAGTAGTTGACCGATGCGAATAATATCATACGGAAATGCTGCCCGCCATCTTCTCTCCCAATACTAAGAAGGTACCTACATATCCGTATATCGATCGACCTAAGGGATGAAAGGCTCGCGCAACCCCAGTTTGCCTAGACCCTCGAAGCCCCTCCAATGGCCCCCCTCTAGCCTGCAGTATAGCACTAGCGCTACCACTCTTATGATGGTGCATTTGCTGGGTCCCTAGATCCTTCAGAAAATACCACCACAGAGCCATGAGAACCTCATAACATGATATTAGACTGAAGAGTCTGCATGTCTTCTCTCTTATTCGAACTGGTACTACCACTGCGTATACAAACATTGTTCAAGCTATTGGCAGCTTTGTACACTCAAGTAGTTACCAATTAGTATGTACGGTATAAACGCGCCCTTAAACTCAGTAGCTGGACTGAACAGACTAAACTCGATGTAGACGGCCAACATCATCGCTGAAGAGGGGGCCTGGGGTACCGTACGGGGTATGTGCCATTGCGCCAGATCAGACCTAGCCAGACCTGACCTGAACTGAACATGGTGTGGACAAACGGTTGATAGACGC